GAACTGGCACAGCACCTCTGGCTTCAAGCACCAGCGTGGAGATGATCTTGCCACAGTCCATACCCTTTACACCGTGATCGTCATGGTTCTTCTAACGGCAATTTGGGGAGCCTGGTCAAGAAAGGATTCATCCTCATAGCAGCAGTACACTTTGTTAAATACTTAAAGAAATTTATGCGTCAATTATCCATATCCAGGAGGTACAAAAATGTGTTCTCAGTTTACTTGGAACTGCTTAAACTGTTACTACATGTGGAACTGCTTAAACTGTAGCGACATGTGGAACTGCTTAAACTGTTGCGACATGTGGAACTGAATCTGTGAAGCAATTTAATAGGCAATGTACAGAACATGACTTTGTGAATAACAGGTAGTTGATTGCACCGTGCACACGTTTATACTACTCTTCATGTATATATGAAACTTACTTTGAGCACAATATGTTACTGAGAAGAGTCCAACTTTTTTATTGGTCAACGTCTTGTATATCCACACCGGCTTTTCATTTTTGAACTTAAGTTGTCCAGCCTCTACCTCTGCTAAGATTACCTTTTCCAGTCCATGGTAAAACATACACTATAAGCAGGCGAATAATCTACCATGTCACAACAATGTAGGACAAAAAATTCAATAAAACCAGCTATCCTGCAGGGAATGGAAGACCTCTGAACCATTCCTGAAGAGGGTTTGTATGGGACTTGCATCTGCATATTTTTAACTTACAGTAATGCCTGTGTAAACTCAGGAACAAAACCATGAAATAAACTGTGCTTGTAAGCACCGGTTCAGTCTTCAGTCTTGTACCAATATATTTAATTAACCTTCAGTTGCTGCTTGCTTTTTCATAATTCATTAATACCTTATGGCAGTACCAACCGCTACATACACCAGCCCATCCTTCATGAGGAGCATTCCACACTCCCACTTTTTTGGGGAAGTAACTCCACTCAGAAAGCCTGCAAGTTTTCGGAAAACAGAGCCAGCTGACAGCCTCTGTTAAACTCTTCCTTAATTGTATGGTTGCCTGCTCTTGATGAGCCCAGGTTAATGAACTGGCAGCCCTGAGGGGCATTGGCTGTTGGAAACTAAAGTCCAAACCTTTGGCATTTAAACTCAGCCTAAACCCCAAATTTCAGCATTGCCTAAAGTAACAAACAGTATCCTAATAAACAAGAACTGCAAGACATTTTGAATACTGAGGAACTGATAGATACATGGTTGTAATTACACTGTACCTGCAGACAACAAGGTTCTTGTGAGTACCGCATAACCCCTTTTGGTATCTGTCCATAACCAGAAGGCACACCTAGGCTCAAATGTTTCTGAGAAGGCCTACATGGCACACCCCGAGGAGCGGTTACAAAGCATGGTGTAGCCCTGGAGACACCCGTGTCACCTCTCAATGTGCATGCTGGAATCGGTGCTTCTGTATCTATGCGGCACCCTGGTGATGTCACCTCCTTGGGCAAACACCCATGGTTTTCCTCACATCATGCTTCAACACAGGAGCAAAGCTTTGGGGATACTCTCAGAAGAGCAGCACAGAAAGGAAGAACAATAAAAAATAGATTATCAGAGCATTAAATACCTCATCCTTGGGACCCCAGTCATAAACCACAAACTAGTATTACAAGCGAATGCAAAAGGAGGATCCCCTCCTTGTACCACTGAAGTACAGGAGAAGAGAGAGGGGTTTAGACATTCTGATGAAAAGCCCCAGGCGACTGGAGTCGTGTGACAGGCAGCAGCCTCCTCAGCGAGCTGGAAGCTTAACATCATCGAGGCTTTTGCAGGAGAGGGGGAGTTCTGACAACAGGTCAGAAAGCCATACTGAATAATCACTTATTTTGAAAATGATGAAGGGAGGTTTGCCTAGCTGAAGCAGGCACAGGAGGCCTGAAGCTGCTCCTGGGCAACCTCAGTGTCCCAGGACAACAGAAGAGAGGAAGCCAACGAACAGAGCTGGGGAGGGGACACATGTAACAGCGAGGGGAATTCACTCCTGGAACTGGCCACCAACAGCTGACATGGATTTTACTTAGGATTTTAAGGATGGCTACCTCTGTCATGACAGGGCGGCCAAGTTTTCCTCGAGTGTATGTCTACATTCTGGCTGCACACCCAGAGGTGTAAGTTCCATTTACGTGACGGACAGGCCAGCAGTTTGGATATATATCAGACAGACTAGGGCTGAAAGCCTGGTGACTGTCTTTAACTCAAACAGCGATAGCCTGATGGCTTTACCGCATATTGCAATGCCATTGTAAAAGTTGGCTTGGTACAGTCTGTTTCTTGCTTGCCCTGTCACCTTTTTCTTTTTTTTTTTTTTTTTCTCCTGAGAAACTCATGCGTTCCAGCAGGAAAGTGAGTTGTCTGGCGGACAAGTTTTTAGTAATTGCCTTTTAGGAGCTGCTGGGTTCGCTCAATTTTTTGTCAGATACACAAGTTTAAAAAGGCAGCACAGGCAAAAAAACACCCCACCTGAAAAAGAAGCAAAGCTACAACACATCATCACACTTTTGGATTTAGTTTTTAAATTTCTAAATCCTGCAGGTATGGTCCTGCCACTGAAGCACTAGAGATCCAAATATGGTACTGAAAAAGCTTCAGCTTCCTCTCTTCCACCGTGTGATAGAAGAGATGAGGTATGAAAGTTTAGAGGAGACAGCAGAACACTAACTGTTTTGAAAAAATTGTCTTGTTTCCTTAAACTTTTGCTTTGCAGGAAAACAGCAGTGATTGATTTAATAGTAACGCTATAGATCCAAACTGACTAATTTTTAATATATTCAGAGAGACAAGTGTAACTTTTCAGGCTCAACAAAATCTACATTTATTACCAGTTTTTGTAAATAATTTAAGTTCAATCAATTAGCACTAGGGGGAAACTGTGTTCTTGCATGGCAATAGAGCCAAATCATCTGCCTGACTGCATGATACCACGGAGGCTTCAGCTCCCAAAATCATTTCCAGTAAATCCATCCATGAAAATAGCTCATTTGTGTCACTTAACTCATGTAAAAATTAATAAACTATTTACTGTTTCTACACCCATGACATAAGACTGGCAAGAATTAGATACTGGGAACCTGAGTCTGGAACTTGTGTATCAGTTGTTATGCAGCAATCTTTTTATTAATGTTTTCCTAAATTAAACAGACCAGACTGATGTTTTACACATGTTCAAAAACGGCTGTGGTTTAAGCATATGTGTCTGCTGTTATTTTAAGCTACCAAAACCAATGTCAGCAGTTCAGCCAGCAAATCTGATGATATACTCCATGTACCAACTGGACTGTCAGAAAAAGAAAACAATTTTTATTTTCCATGGTCATTCTCACGTGCTGATGTTACACACATTTTATTTCAAAAGACTCAAACCCTTCCAAGCTCCATTTTTCACTACTGCCTCACACTCGCCTTTAAACGGGATGATATAATCTGTAAAACTATCTTTAATTCAAGAAATTAGCACAGCCATTTTTCCTGAATAATTTGTTTTGATAAAGCTTGTAATTCCCTTGGTACTTGGCAAATACTTTGCAATTGATTTGCTTGGTAAGAAAATTATGGTCTTTGTACCACTGTTTTAATTGAGGGAAGAATTAACCAAAAGCAAAGTGTAAACCAGAAGCTAGGGATTTCCATATTAAATGCAGACACCCAGACAATACCAGGTCTATATGTCACTTTGCTGGTCTTTGCTGTAGTGGATAATAAATTAACTCAGACTTGCCTCTCCCTCAAAATATATTTTGTTTTCTCAAACACTGGGTGCAAGAACCTGGGGGATACTCTTCCAAATATCTTGTAAGTACACAAATTTTAATACCTCAGAGAACGTTAGGAAAAAAAAAACCCACACAAAAAATGTAGACAGCTATATACAGTTTTATGCACATCCCTGAAAAAAAATACTGCATAACAATACCAAACAGTATGGATTTCTAACTAATTAGGACAGTAGATTTTCTAAAATGTGATGCCTGCATGGGCTTAAAAGACACTCACACAGGGCTGTTGGACCTGGTGACTACCAGAAAGCAATAATCTTTTTAGTTCTCCTTGATGGTCTTTCCTAACACCGGTTCAACCAAACGAGTTCAATGACTCGGATCACTACGCAAGTTGTGTTGATGATTTAAGTGAGCAGATTCATGGTGCAAACTTCTCTGCACTTGGAACTAGGCCCAAGGAAGTCAGCATCACTGTGCATAATTATTACAACATAAAAGCACCTCTTGTTATCCTTTAACACCCAACACTGAAGTACCACAGCAACACACCAGTACCTCGGCAGTAGGCTGCAGCTGGTGACATCAGATTGTTGGTGCCAACAGCACTACAGCATCACCCCCACTGACTTTATTCATCGTTCTTCACATCTCCGATGCCTCTGTTCCACACTCCCCCCACCGCTGGCTGCCACGGTGCCCCTCCTGCCCCTTCCCGTTCCTAAAGGGTGGGCAAGAACTCTGTCCCATTAGCAGAAAGAGGGAGGTGCTGCCAATCGTTTATGGAAACTTTCCTTATTCCAGCCTATCAGCAACACTTCGTGCCATAGAGACGCCTTTTCCGGCAGTAGTATCGTTAAAAGGATATCATCCATCAGGGGTGCCAAAACAAAACAAGGGAGGGTTAATAAAAATGATTTACAATGTTTGAACCCTATCTGGGACTAGCAAAATGTTTGATGAAAAAGAAAAGTAAGTACAGATTTCCAAGCCTTCTGTTTATGATCAACTTGAGGTACTGGCAAAAGAGAGTTTTCTTCCTCTTGTTAAGAAAACAGACAGAAATGCCAATGGCAAGATACGCTTCATGAAACAGAACAGCTCTCTCTGTGCTTAGAACACAGCTCAGATTACACCTATATCCAAGCTTGCTCACCTACGGTGAAAGCTCAGATGCCATCAAACTACTCAGTAATATACCACTTTCTCAGAAATAGATGATTAATTTTAATGAAGTGTTTTATACCTTAAAAAGCCCCCTTTTTCTTCCTTAAAAGAATTTTATTTCCTCATTTTCATAAAACATCTTTTGCTGACATTCTGCAAACGACACTATCCAATAAGGTGCCAATTTTTTCTTCCTGTGGAGTAACTTTGTATAGCTGTAAAAAAACAACCACAACAGAATAAGAAAAATACAAAAGCTGTATAAGGAAGAAATAAAAACTGATCACACATCTTCTGAAAATATGTACACGAGATTTACCCCTCTCTCCCAATTTTTACATTGAAAATTCCTATCCTGCCATGACTGCAAGAAAAAATTTGGACTGAGCTACCATACAAACTTTGAAACTGCAAGACATAAAGGAAAGCTAAGAAACTGAACGAGCAGCACTTTGTATGCTATGATTTGTCCAGTTTTATTCCTATGTATCCCATCTTTACTTTGATGGACACGATCAAGATGATTATTTGAATTTTATCAAGCGAAATACGTATGTTTCAACATACCTACCTAGCATACGGTAATCTGTTTAGAGCATACGTGCCCTAACATAGCTCCTAGCAACTAATCAACACATTTTTATTTTAGCCACGCATGTCAGGGCTGGTTTTGTGCTGAAGAATATGAAACTGTTCAGGACTGAAAATAAAATTTTAATTAAATGGCTATTTGCTGCAAAAAACAGGAAGCAAAGTACTACTGGTAGGTAGCAATGTGGAATTTATTTTTGTGTTCCAGCTTTCTGACAATATTAAGAATTTGAAGACTTAAAACTTGTGATGTCAGAGCGTGTCAACTACAATTTTTTGCAAGTAAAAAAAACTGTGAGAAAGAAATAACCAAGGTTCACTTAAAACAAGTTTCAAGTTGTGCTGAAGAAATACAGACCTGAAGTTAATTATGTCCACTGATATTTAATCAGACAACTAAATAAACTATCCCTTTTCTCTACGCCAGTCATCTCTTTTGGCTACATACCTTTTTAACTTTGGCAGTGTCTGTTAGTTGGGGGAGTTCATCTAGAGACACCTGTTGGCCTTCTACTTGAGATGTTATATCTTTCAGATTTACAGTTTTTTCTCCATCCGCAACCAGAACAATGAGTACTGCTGTGTCACTGTCTGAAATGCCAAACTTCTTAAATGCATCTGAAATCTAATAAAAGACAAAAAATAAAAAAAATACTGAGCCACTTTCTCACTACCTATAACCAACCTCCCCTGTTACTGTTTCAAATAAACCAGGAGTATAAATTGACACATTTTACATTAATGGAATTCTGACAAGCTGCAAGAGATAATAGCATATTGGTGTTATTAAAAATAACAGTAACTTCCATTAGCAGCCAGGTAAACAGTTAAGTAAATAAATACATTTAGTTTGGCCGTGTGGATCTTAGCAAGCTTCTCTGGCAAAAAAACCCGAGACATTTGTTCAGTAAATCTTACATTGTTGTTTGGCGAGAGGCTGAAAATAATTTCTGCATAGAGAGTTCTGGTCTTCATTTTACCTATCTTGTGTAGGTGAACTGCTTTGTTAGCTGCTACAAGAACTTGAAAAGGATCTACAATCTGCAAAACACAACAGAATAAGTTAAACAGAAATTTAAGGTATCATTTTGAACTCGGAAGAAATCCTGACTACCTAATTTTCATAGCCTAAGTCTGCACCCACAGAAGTGAGTAAAACAGTATCCTGCAAGCTATTTTAGCAATTCTTTTGTATTCTGCTAGCTATTTTAGCAATTCTTGCTCTTTCAAAGTCAATGTGATTATTTCCTGTAAGGGTAATACTTGACATAAAATTATACTCCCTCAATCATATTACTGAAATCTTCTGAAAAAAGAATCCCATGGATTAAAGCTCAAGGTGGATCGGTTCAGATTGGACATCAGGAAGAAGTTCTTCCCCATGAGGGTGGTGAGACCCTGGCACAGGTTGCCCAGAGAGGTGGTGGAAGCCCCATCCCTGGAGGTTTTTAAGGCCAGGCTGGGGGGGGCTCTGGGCAGCCTGATCTAGTGGGGGATGTCCCTGCCCATAGTGGGGGGGTTGGAACTAGATGATCTTTAAGGTCCTTCCAACCTTGACAATTCTATGATTCTACGACTAATAAATTTTCTGTCAGTAAACTGCCAGGTTAGATTCTTTTTATTTTCCTGTCCCTAACTACTGCTTTGCTAATTCTAACATAAAAGACTAGATTCAGAAACTAGTTATGAGTTTAAATGAGAAAAAAGGTTCCAAACAGTACATTTTTTACAGCACTAAGAAATCACTACTACATTTTAAAGATGGAAGTAGCTTTAAACAGCTGCGGCAAGTAGGATGTGAAGTGGATCAAGAGGACAATTGTTTCGGCCAGTCCTGCCAAGGCTCTTTCTTTTACACAGATGAACCCTCCTTGTGCTGCAACAGAATCCAGGGAGGGCACGTGCACAGACAAAGGTGAGTACGGGTGCAGCAGCTGGTGTGGCAGCGATTACAAGCACAGGCTTTTCCAGAGAGAAAATACTTCTTTACTGTGGGGGTGACGGAGCACTGGCACAGGCTGCCCAGAGAGGTTGTGGAGTCTCCTTCTCTGGGGACTTTCAAACCCCTCCTGGACGCGTTCCTGGGAGGCTGCCCTGGGTGACCCTGCTCTGGCAGGGGGTTGCACTGGGGGATCTCTAGAGGTCCCTTCCTGACATGCTGTGATTTCTATGCTGCCTTTAAAACTGTGAGCAGGACGACACAAGCATTCACTCACCATCGACGGGTTTATTAACGCTCCTTCAATGGCCCCTTCCATGGCTTTTTTCCTCAGGGCAGCGGCGTTTCTGAGGCGGCTGAAGAGCAGGAGGCTCACGCTGCACTCCGG